TGATGATTTAGTTACCTTGAATTGATTAGTAGTCCATGTTGCTACTTCTAGATCGGTAATTGATTTTAATTTTGTATACTCAATCTCGACATATTTTTCATGGTTTAGATGGTTGATGTTTGAGAAATGTGCTTGTGGGAGCGAATGGGACAGTCGAAAAGAGTTTATTTGGTTGAGCTTGCACCAGGTAGAGGAACTCTTTTGGCCGAAAGGTGGTTTTTTGTAATTATCCATTGTATCGATTGTTTTCTGGTTTCAGCTGATTATGGCATGATATGCATTTCGATCATTATCGTCAACTCCTCTACCATCAGTGAGTCGAGTTTCTTTTAATTATCTTATTCTCTCTATTGAATTTTTCAACTAGAAGTTTTGTCTAGAGCTTCAAGTCACCTGTACGTACTCTAATATATATGTGAAACAATCTTCTTAACAATGTTGGGGAGAGAAATTCAGAGAGATTCTAGGTCCTTTTTCATGAAATGCGTGCTTAACTTTCCGTTCTTTTGTTTATACTTTACGAGGTAATTGCAATTTGGCTTAATTTTTAAAAATATGATATTTCACAAAATGACATGGAAGTTTAATCATTAAAAAAAACACACATTGACTGACGTTTGTTGGTGAGCATCTGATATCCAATATTAGTATCTAAAGAAGTTGTCAATTGCGAGAATTTAGACATTAATCTGATTCATCTGTAACTTTTTTGCAGTCTTTAGCCAATTCCAATATCATTTTGGAGGGAAAACATTGAGCCTTTCAACGACGAGGTCACCACAGTCACAGTTGTGACTTGGGGTTGGTGTTGTTGACTACCTAATGGATATAGTTCATTGTGTGGGAAAGAAAATTATGCATGATCACAGATGCCGATACTTTCTGATCGAAAATATTGTTGAAGGGTCAGTTTGTGAGTCTACGCTCATACCACATGATGAAATTGCTTTCAAGGTTATAATTGAGTATAAGTTTATGTTGCTATGTTTGGTAGTTTGTTAAGTCAATTGTAATCTTTTGCTTTCCACTTCTACAATTTTATGATAACCCCAAAACTTTCTTTTGACGGTTTTTGTGATTATTGGATATCTTATCTTGTTGTAGGACTTTTGCATTTGTGATGAATTCCTATGAAGTAATTTCAAGCTACTTTTAAAAATGCTAGCAAATTTATGCATTCTTCGAGTTTGGCAAATATATGTATAAGGTTGATCACATTTTCAGCACAATTTTTAAGTTAGACGAAAGAAAACCCACTATTTAATAGACTAAACTAGGGCCAGTTGTGCGTGCACAGCCAATGGGCCACTAGTCAGTAATAAAACAGCCTAAGAAAAAATGTCAATTCAACAACATCAAACAAGATTGTGTTCTTTTGTGTCCGCGTGAGTTTTCTTTTGTCTTGGGTTTTGGCCGTGATCTCGTCGGCAATCGAGTGTTGTCTCTCCAGGAGTTTCTAACAAGTGGCATCAGAGCTACTCGTAATTGGGACCGTGAGTGGAAAGAAGAACGTCTAAGTCTCATAAAAGAACGCCGTTGTGATTTATCGAGTGATCCGTGAGGTGAGTGGCGGAAGTAGCTATCCCGTTCTCACTAAGACTAATTACTTCAACGGGGTGCTCCTAATGAAATTCAAGGTCATGTCCAGGGCTCTCTAGAGTGTGATCGAGAATGGCGGCGCCGATCCACAAGAGGAGATGATGGCGCTTGACACCTTGTGCAGCGCGGTGCCACCAGAGATGGTACCGAAAGTCGCCACAATGGTCCCGTTCTTACATGTTTCACCAGCGAGGAATGAGTCTTTGAAGATGAATCAAGCATATCTTTGACACCTTAGACTTGGGCACATCAACCTTAAAAGGATTCAAAAGTTAGTGACCAGTGGACATCTCGGTCCATTGGAAGATCACTATCCAACTTGCGAATCGTGCCTGGAAGGTAAGATGGCCAAGACGCCGATTATGACAAAGGGGTATAGGAGCCAAGAAGTGCTAGAATTGATTCATTCTGATTTGTGTGGTCCTATGTCGATCCAGGCTAGAGGTGGTTATGAGTATTTTGTCTCATTTATTGATGATTACTCGAGATTTGGGTACGTTTACCTGTTTCACCGCAAGTCTGAATGCTTTGAGAAATTCAAGAAGTATCGGGCAGTTGTGGAGAAATTCAAGGAGATTTGGGTAAGAGTATCATGTCGCTTCAATCTGATCGAGGTGGCGAATGCCGCTTTGGGAGTTCATGACAGACTTATCAGAAGCTGGGATTGAATCCCAATTGACTGCACCCGGCAAGCCCCAGCAGAACGGGGTTGCAGAGCGAAGAAATAGGACTCTTATGGAGATGGTTAAGTCAATGATGAGTTATTCAAGGTTACCAGATTCGTTTTGGGGTATGGTGCTAGAAACAGTATCGTATATTCTGAACTTGGTTCCATCGAAGTCAGTAGAGACTACTCCTTACGAATTGTGGAAAGAGCGAAAGCCTGGGTTTTCACATATTCAAGTGCGGGATAGCCCTGAACACGTTTTGGCGTAGGAGGTTGGCAACTTCAAAAAACGTTCAGAAGCACGAGTTTTCGTTGGCTATCCAAAGAAAACGAAAGGTGAATTATTTTATAGTCCCGAGGATCAGAAGGTGATCGTTAGCACGAAAGCTAGATTCTTGGAAGAAGACTATATTATGAATCATAAGCCCGCGAGTAGACTAGTCATAGAGGAGTTGAGGAGTAAATTCGATAGTTCCCACCAAGTGCGCAAGTAGATACATCACATAATAATGAAACACGACACACTAAGAGTGTACCAGTGCAGACACTACCTCGTCGTAGTGGGAGGATTTCTCATTTGCCCGACCGATGGATAGGTCTTGGAGAGTCGTCGGACTCAGTTCCAGGAGACCTAGAATCGGACCCAAGGACCTACAACGAGGCACTCCAAGATAAAGATGCAGATTCATAGAATGTTGCAATGAAAGCTGAAACCCAATCAGGTTTGGGATCTTGTAGAACCACCCGATGGGGTACGACCCATTGCATGCAAGTGGGTCTATAAGAGAAAGAGAGGATCGGATGAGAAGGTGGAAACCTTCAAAGCTAGGCTTGTTACGAAAGATTATACCCAGAAAGTGGGTATTGATTATGATGAGACCTTTTCGGCAGTAGCTATGCTTAAGTCCATTCGGATTCTCTTGGCAGTAGCCGCTCATATGGATTATGCGGTCTGACAGATGGATGTCAAGACGGCTTTCCTTAATGGGAACCTTCAGGAGGACATCTATATGCAGCAACCAAAGGCATTCATTGCTAAGGAACGTGAACACCTAGTGTGTAAGTTCGGTCTATTTATGGGCTGAAGCAAGCTTCGAGATTTTGGAACTGAGAAGAGACTTCTCAAATATACATTAATTCCTCAATTGATGAATTTATACATAATCCGTGACTTTATGCATTATCCTAAGCAGTGTTCTAAAAGTCGCTAGGCGCCCGCTAGACACTCGACCAGCGCCTAGCGCCTAGAGCGCCTAGGCGGGGCCTAGACAGCGCCTGGTCGGGGCCCAGAAATCAATATTAAATACCTTATTTTCTATTTATTTTAATTGCCTACAAAATAAAATTATCTCAACTTATAATAAATTCACACACCAAAGTCCAAATAATAATATTAATATATATTAAAAAATATGAGAACAAAATAATGCAATTAGTATTAAAAAAAAAACTGAAAAATTGCCGCCGAGCCCGCCTAGGAGCGCTTAGGTCCGCCTACGCTCGCCTAGACGCCGCCTAACCGCCTAGCCGCCGAGTCCGCCAAGCCCGCCTAGGAGCTCCTAAGGTCGCCTAGCCGCCTGGCCGATATTTTCTGCCGATTTGTGCAAATCGAAGGTACCCGGGCATCGCCTAGCGCCTAGGCGGCCGCCTAAGCCGATTTTTAGAACAGTGATCCTAAGTACTCTTTGAACTATTTTTTTTTTAATTCAATGTGGGCCTAGGCCCACACTGGTCTCTTAGTGAATCCGCCACTGTAGAGTAGAATAAAGGATTGGAGATCGTGCTTATCGTGCAAAGACTAGAAATAACATATGAGACTTTAGTTACGTCATAAAAAGAATGGACAACATTATTTACATCATGAAAATGATCATCAACAGCAATAATGGACAACGTAAGATGGCAAATTTATCTGTCTTAGTGTCTTAGTGTGCATTGAGATGGATCCTGGAGCATGCAATTCAATCTGACTAGAGTCACCTAATCTGCAAGGTTAAGAAGAAGGGCTCAACAAAAGGCATAAGTTCAGTTGGAGCATTAATATGGTTGCTGGTGACATCTTTTCTCTCTCTCCTGAATTCCTTCTCTTTTTGCATCTTTGTAGAATCTTGTGTTTAACTGGTTACTTTCCTTCGCACTGTTTTTTCTTATGTTTGTACAACCTTTATGGTTGCAGTTTTCAGGCTCGAGCCTTGTGCTTTGAGTCGTATTCTTGTAATCTGTTGATTATGTCGTTGAACTTTGTTTGAGTTTTAAGAAAAAGTTATCGTTTAAAAAAAAGTTGTTACATTTAATGATTTAGTTACACATTTCTAATAACATCTAATTTTATCTTCATTCCCAGACACAGTGTTAAGGTGTGTTTGGTAGTAGTATTTATTTACCATCAGATTATTAATTTTTGGGTTAATTGCCAGAAAAACCACAACCTTTTGTTTAATTACACATAAAGCTCAACCTTTTCAATTTTGCATCAAAATTCAAACCTTTTATAAGTATTGCAAAATCGTCTCAAAGTTGACTTCCGGCCAACGTGTGCTGACATGGGCGACCGAAAAAGTGACGTGGCACTCATATTCAATAGTTTTCGCCACGTCATCAGACACATGTATTTCCATATCATCAGCCCTCCACGTCACACACCAATATATTAAAAATTTCCTTTCTTCTTCCCCATTCCCAATTTACGCGTTTCAAAGAAAAGAGTGATTAGGGCCTCCAAAAGCCTCCACTTCATCTCATTAGGCTGCAGGTCGATCAGTTTCTCCACATACTCCATGGACTCACCGGGTTTCCCCTTCTTCATCTTCATATTCACCACCATTTTCAAAGCCTCGATGCTTTCCGGATTTTGCTGCAATAGTTTCACACAAATAATTTCTTCCTCATCTTCTTCTTCTTCCTTTTCGCGACTTTGCTCCGACTGCGAATCGATTTCCTCGAGAACCACGCTTTCTCGAACGGGCTCAAGCTAAAAAAGGCCTTGATTTTGAAAAGCAGAAGAAAATGAGCGATCGCAGTAGCAGCACAACCACGAATTTCTCCATAAAGTACTTGGAGATTTTTTCCGGCGGCGGTGATAGAAAGGCTGCAATTGGGTATTTCGATATGGGTGTCGATGAGAAGTAAGGTTTTCTGACAGGTTGTCGGAGTTTAGTGTGGAGAGAGATTGAGGATGACGAGTGAAATTTAGGGTTTCTGAAGGGGATTAGGTTAGAAAATTTGGGGGTTTTGCTGGTGTACTGATGAGGAAGAAGAAAGGAAATTTTTTAATATATTTGTGGTGTATGACATGGAGGGCTGGTGATGTGGAAATACATGTGTCTGATGATGTGGTGAAAACTATTGAATATGAGTGCCACGTCACTTTTCCGATCGCCCATGTCAGCACACTTTGGTCGGAAGTCAACTTTGAGACGATTTTGCAATACTTATAAAAGGTTTGAATTTTGGTGCAAGATTGAAAAGGTTGAGCTTTATGTGCAATTAAACAAGAGGTTGTGGTTTTTCTATCATTTAACCTTAATTTTTTTCTTGGGTAAAATATACAGTACCCCCTTGTATTATACGAAATCTGCGCGTTTTCCCCCTGTATTTTAAAAATTGCATCAGACCTCCTTCTATTAAGGTTTTGCATGCGCGAAACACCCTAAACCGTCTAAGATGACGGAAGTGCCGTGCACGCGAGTGATGTGCGGCTTTTTCTTCATTTTTTCACCCCAAAGTGGCGGAAATTATTGTTTTCCCCTTGAATTATGTGCAAAACCCAAATGTTATGAAATGTGGGCAACAAGATTCAAACCTGGGTTGGAAAGGAACGGAATGGCCGCTCAACCACTAGACCATATGGATGGATGTGTAATCTATTGAACATAAATATATTTATACATCATACTGAAATAAATTAAATAGTTTAAAAATAAGTAAATAAATAAAATAAAAGGATAATATGTCAATTTACTATAAATTAAACAATTAATAATAATAATACTAATAAATTCAAATAAAATAGATTAACTTAAAATAATGAAAAAAATTAAATTAAAATAAAGTAAGATAAAATCTATATCTATATATATATATAAAGAGGTTGTTGGAAAAATTCATTAATAGAAAGTTTGACCAAATAAATATAATGTTGACATACTATTAATGGAAAGTTCAAAAAAGTACATGTGAATCTTTAATAACAAAATCTAAATCCTATTTTTTTGGTAACTAATTTGGAGATTCTTATGGCAAAATTTGAATCCCATTTTTTTCGTATCATATTTTATTTTTTTTACCAAAATTTAAATCATATATTTTTTGGTAACAAATTTGGAGATTCTTATGCAAAGAATGTGTCAATTATTTATGAAAACAATTCTAAATACAAATTAACTTAAAAACCGTACAAATTGGATACAAATTTTGGAAACAAATAGTTGTATAATTCTTAACTAATTTTTTCAATCTTATTGACTAATTTTTTTTTAAAAAAATGTGTAAATTGGATAAAACCACGTGCAATTTTTATTTTAGAATAGCACTGATATTTGGACGGGATGTACATTCAAAATTATGTCGACATTTTTTGGTAACAAAAGCGGTTCATCTTTGATATTTAAAAATTAAAATAAATCTTAAAATATCCTTAAATATTTAACTTATTTGAGATCAAGATTTGTTAGGTCTTTTTAAGATTAGTTATGATTTAAAAGAAAAAAACATTATACAAAATTTCACTCTAAATCTCACATTCACACTTAAGATTTCATAGTATTCCTCTAAAATTTACCATCTTAAAAGTCTCAAATCTGAAAAAATCTCAAAGTGGCACTCAAAATCCTAAGCGAATACATATTATTTACCTATATCTTCAATTTATAATTATTATTTAATATTATTTACCCGTGCATCGCACGGGCCACATACTAGTTTAATGTATTAGCGTGAACTAAAATTAAATAAAGTTATAACTAAATTAATTTTAAATGAGAAAAATTAATACAAAAATGAAGTTAATAAATAAATAACATTAAAATAAACTAATTAAATAAAAATAAAAATAATAATTATATAAGATAATAAATTATAAAAATTATAAAGTAAAATAAATAATAAATCAAATATCTTATTATGAAATAATAAATTAAATAAATAAAGAACTGAAATTAATATAATATAATATAATAAAAAATATTATTTATCAAATAATTTTAATATGATTATTATTTTTATTTATTTATTTAATTATTTTTATACTATGTAATATTTTTTAAAATATTTTATAAATATATAGATTTACTTAATTATTATATTATTTATTATTTAACTACAATATTTTATATTTATTTATATTTTATTTTAATTTTTTTTTCGTTTAACATAATTAGTTATTTAAATTATTTTTTTTGTTTAATTTTATATAATTTAATTTATTATATTTGAATTATCATAACTTCATATTTTAATAATTTAATTTAATATAATTTATACATTCTAAATTTAATTTCACTTATCCATAATGATATCCATATATATCAAGCATTCCTAGTTCTAACACTCAACCTTGAGTGGTGTAGTGGTTGCATTGTTTGTCTTGCTTCCATGAGGTACCGGTTCGAATTCTAAAAGTTGCAATTTTTTTTAATTAAATTTCTCGCGATATATTTAATATATCGCGATATATTTAATATATCGCTAATATATGTATAATATTCAGGGGGTATAACAAAACTTTTGAAGAAAAACTAACGCGGGAGAAATAGAGACAAGGGAGCGTGTACACCTGAAACCTTAATAGAAGGGGTCGCGCAATTTTTAAAATATAGGGGGAAACGCGTAGATTTAGTATAATACACATTAAACCCTTTTTTAAATTGAAATGTGCAAAATTTTAAACTGGCATCCAACTGCCTCATTTATTCGCGGATCCATCCCCTCTAAACACCTCGTGCGCCCCCACTCCTTAATTACTCTACGCGTCCCGCGCGTGCCCCCTTTATATATTTTCAAAATTTTCCGACCCCCTATTCATTCATTCATTCTCACCATAACCTACACTCTGTAAAATTGCAACATCCAATTCTACCCAAAGTTCCAAATCCGATTCAAAAATAACAACAATGACACCAAAAATGGTTAGCAGCTTCCGGCGATCACTCTCCTACCCTAACCCGCCGTCCCCCTCCGCCCGGCCGCGCAAGGCTCTCCACGTCAGATCCGCCAGCCTCCCCTGCCGCTCCCACCCCATAATCTCCCACCTCCGTGACGACATCGCCGCCCTCCGCTCCTTCTCCGCCGCCCCCCTCACCTCAGCCTGCCTCTGCGTCTCCCTCCGCCGCCTGGGCTCCCTCCACGACTCCCTCGACGACCTCCTCCACCTCCCCCAAACCCGCGACTCCCTCCGCGCCCCGCAGATCGAGAGGCTCCTCGACCACTTCCTCCTCCTCGTCGATCTGTACGGAACCTTCCAGGCCCTCGCCCTGCGCCTCAAGGACGAGCTCTCGGCGGCGCAGATCGCCGTCCGCCGGAAGGACGGCCGCGAGGTCGCGACCCGCGTGAAGAATCTTAGCCGGATTTCAAAGAAAATCGGCAGCCTCTCACCAAATTACCACGCTCCCATCAGGAAATTGTCACCGTACGATGAGGAGGCAGATCTGGTTGAGGTTATTGAGAGCGTGCTTGGGGTGACGTGTGCTGTATCGGCTGTGTTGTTTGGTGGGCTTTCGGGCTCGTTGGCGTTAAGGAGGCCTTGGGGACTGGGTTTTGGGGCGAAAGCGAAGAATGGGAGTGTTGAAGGGGGTATTTGGGAATTCCAGGAGATGAGTTTGGAGAAATTGAGGAAATTGAGGGGGGAAGAGGAGGTGAAGATGGCTTCCAAGAGGATGCAAGAGATGGAGGATCGGATTGTGGAGATTGAAGGGTGTGGGGCGAAGGTGTTTAGGAGCTTGATTAATACCAGAGTTTCTTTGCTCAATGTTGTCACACAATAAACACATACCAAAGAAAAGAATAAAAAAATAAGCATATAATTTGTTGTTTGTATATTTTTGGTTGATTTTCTTGATTACTATGTTTTTATTTCCCCGGAGTATAAAAAATTCCATTTGGATAGTGTCCTTACGAGGTTTAGTCATCAGAGATTCGAGTACACGTCACTACCGACGGGTAGGATCCATCCTTTCGTTTTTCGGTGATAAGTGAAAAATAGACTGTGTACTAAGTATGATATGAAGTTGACGGTGTATAGAGTTGTATACTTCTTCCATTGGGATTTTTTTCCTATAGAATCTATATATATATAATTACTAGCTCAAAACATTTAATAAAACCTATTTAATTTACTTATGTGGCAATTTAACAATTTTCCCTCCAAAAACCGTTACATTTTGATGTATTTAATCTTTCATTTAATCATTAAATAATTAATACTCATTACTTCAAAATTACAAAAATTATTTTAAATTTTTTATTAATAACAGTTGACCATATATAATGTGTTGACCGTATAATGTGATTAGATGTTATTATTGTTGTTACATTTAATTTTTTTTTTAAAATAAAAAATATATTTGAAATTCCTAAATAAATAATAAATAATTCACAAATAAAAGATGTACCAAAATATACATTACATCCAATCAGATAAACGCAATTTAAAAAAAAATATTTCAACTCTTTTAATTGTAAATTTGGTTTGCAAAAAAGTGAAAGAAAAATAATTAATCATTATATGCATACAGACTCACAATAATTTATTTATTTTTGTGCAAATGCAAAGGTGGAATACTAGTTGTTGATAAATGGAATCGTATCAACGAAAAAGTACATCCTTATTCCGTGAATAATTGGTGTAGGATCGATTATGTATATTGAAGATGGAAAAATCAAGAATGTTCTTTCTTAGTTTTGTAGAGAGGAGATGAATGAATAGATATTCCTCTCTTTCATAGCTCCATCTCTATATACTGTATACATGTCTTTTCTTTTTACAAGTGGGGCAAGTGGGGCAATTAAGAAACAGATAAAAGGAGTACACTAGTATTTAATGTGATATGATGTCGTGGGGCCCGATCGTGACACTTGACGGCTTCGATTGACATCTACTTTATCAAGAATTATTGTGTCTGTCGGAAACGAAACTTCTCGATATTCGGGTCAGCTTATAATATTAATTCTGCTCGGCTCGAATGTGGATCATCTGAGCACT